AGTTCTGGGATTGTGTTTTAGTCTTTCGTTTTGACATGTTTGCTATCGGTTGCAGAAAGTTCAGTTTCCCTCTTCAGTAGCTGCACATCCAAGGCCACTAGTGTTCCTATTTTTCCTGTTGTTCAGGTTTGCCTCTGGGTGACCTCTGAGTAGCTCTACTTAGCTTCGGGTTTTCCGGCAGTTTTTGATTTGTATGTAGTTAACCCCGTTTTCAGACGCAGGTACTTGTTTCAGTTGATGGCCGACCTTCTGGTCCAGCGTCCCCTTGCAGTTCAGTGCACGTGCACGACCTGACTTAGGTTGCACTGGTGCGACAATCCCGCTCCAGTGGACCTATGTCTCCAGGCAGTTTAGGGTACAGGCATAATTCGGACACAAACTGCAGTGTCTACAGTTTGTGAACTGCCTAAATCTATGTCTCCACTCAGTTCAGGACTCATACAGGAATGAGATTCAGCCCAGATGGGTAGCAGTCACAGACTTCCCCAGACTTCACCTCGCTGGAGGTTCTGGGCAAAGGCAAAGCACAGACTCGAATCCACAGGCCCTGCAGCTCCCGGAGTACTTGCTCTCTTGGGGTAGGGTGCATGGGGCTCAGAGAGTCTGCTCGCCTGGCTCAGTGAGCCTGCTCGCCCAGCCCCCAGCTGGAGAAGTCCCCTGGGCCACTCAGTCCAGATCTCCTCTCTGCCGCCACAGCGACTCAGTCTATAATGTCAGCGGGGTCCTTGTTCACCCGTTCGGCCCTCAGGGATTAGATGGGAAGTACCTGGCTCTCTCCACGTGTTTGAGCTGGGAATCGTGGTCGTGTGTGTCCAGCACAGACTCAAACCTACGAGCCCTGCCCCTCCCGGTGAACTCCCTGTCTCGGGGCAAGGCGCCCGGGGCTGGGGGAGCCTGCTTGGCCGGCTCAGAGAGCCTGCTTGCCCCACCTGTCCCCTGGGCCTCCCCAGTTACTCTTATATTACTCCTCCTTAAGTCATCTAGGGGCTGTTGCATCCGTTTTTCATGTTCCCTCATTGTTTTTAAGGTATCCTTCATTAATTGATCATAAATCACAGCCCTATCCTCCATGTCGCATACTTTGTCTTTGTGTTGGTCACTTCTGCTACCCATACTTTCACTCATGTTTTTAATCTCCTAGATTTCTATGTGGAACTTTCTTGTGAACTCCCACTCTTTTCTATATTGGGTCCTCATGTTTTGCATCTCTTTCTTTTGTTCCACTAGCTGTTTATTAATGTCTTCTCTAGAATTGCTGATCATTTGTTCCATTATGGCCATTATGTGATTAACTATGTCCTCTTTAAATTTTCTGAGCACCTTGTAGAACTGTTTCACCTCCTATGGTATCCTTTCAGACCTATCTGCTGTGTAGTTTATCATTTTATTCCTCTTGGTGTAACAGCGAGCAGAAACACTGAGATGATATCTGGGATTTGGAGGCAGATTTATTTATGTTGACATGCACTGATCAGGATCACTTTCTAAATATCAGGCCACAAACTTTAGTGGTCTAAGCCTTTTATATGATGCAGAAGCAGGAGGTACAAAGGACATACAAAGGTGAGACAGAACAGCTTGGCAGCTTTTCTGATTAGCTAGTGGGGTGAGATCATTGGTTATCAGGGTAGATTAATGCTTATCAGCTTATGAAGCTTGGTACAGTGGTACAACCAGGGATCCTGTATGTTCTGTTACACTGTTGTGGTTACAGGGGTCAAGAAAGAAATTATAAAGCTATGAAGCAGTTACAGAGCTAGGCAGTTTTAAAAGAACAAAGTTTTTAAAAGAACAATTTCTTTTGTACACTTTTTCCCTTTCATCAATGCCCTTGTACTGGTTTTGGGAGAGTTGGGAGTTTTTAGACGGATTTTGTTGCCTTGCCTGCCTTTCAATGTTTCTCTTTTTTTTATGCTGTGATTGCCAATCATTTGGACCAATGCCCCATTCTTTGGGAGTGGGTCACAGTATTTTTTATGACCCTCTCCCTGGCAGCTCAGGTATCAGCATGGAGAGAAAACCAGTTGACTATGTCACCTTGTCTATGGTAGTAAATTCTGCAGTAACAATGGTGTCAAATGTCACCTGGATATCGCCAAATCCCATGCACAGCCCATGCCCAAAACAAAGAAGACTCTCTGATTTTAGTGAAGATAATTAGGCCAGAGCACTGATTTCTGCTGGATATTGGCAACAATGCCAGAGCTCAAACATAGCACCAGATAAATATCTTCTTCAGGACCCTCTCTCACAATTACTCCCACTGGACTCTCACAGCAGATAACATGCCCCATGATCATTCTAGTCTGAGTCCAGAGATCCCAGGAGATCCCTATTTAGTTCTCACACTCTCAAAGCCTATCTCCCAAGGCTGTCTTTTACCCAGTCTCTTTGGAAGAGATCATTTCAGTCCTGAATCAAGACTGTCCCCATGAATGTTGGTCTTTTCTTCAATCTGATTAGCCTGTTGGTTGTCAATCCTGTTGCCCTGTGGTGGAGAATCCAGCGACTGTCAATTCCCACGTCCACTAGGCTCAGACACAGTTCTCAGGGAGGGCAATAGCATTGGCTTGAGGCTGTTATATTTTAATAACTCCTTGCTTCAGAAGTTGCTTCTACTTTTCTATTTCTGCCACCCCATTTACATGCATGTTATTATGAACATGTGACTTTTCTCTTGAATGAAAATTTACTATCCAATAATTTGTGCCAAAATTTATGATTTTTTCTTGTATAAATGTATCTATTAATTTTGCTTGAACTGATAAAATCAGTTTTTCTCTGAAAAGCTTTTTAATTTTTACTTTTAATTATAAATCCCAAAGTTATAATTGTTTATATTTATGGCATATTGGAATTGCACACAGGAGAATATGTAATGAATGAGAAATAACAAAGTACCCATAAAGAGAGAAGCAGTGGTGAAGGAAAGTGAGTGCTCAAGTCTTCTAATCTGGCTTGGAAAATGTCTTTTGGTGTTTAGGATCTTCAGAAAACCCCAGTCTCCTTGCAATACTGGTGGCACATTTTTTCTTAGTAATCATCTTTCCTGAAGGGTTATAATTTCACAGGGTAGGTTTATCAAGCCTTTCAATAGAAATGTTTTGGGTTGTGGAATTTAAGTGAAACACTAGGTGCTTCTACTAACCAGAGGCATTAACACCAGAGGCATTAACATTTATTGTACATTTCTACAAATTATTTTTGCCTCTTCTCTCAGAAATGTTGTAACACAGAAAAGATGTTGCCTTTTCCTTGGTTCCAGCATGAAACCACAGTGGAGCTGCGTGTTTAGGAAACATTTGCAGGATAGTTGCTTAAGGTTCTAAGAATGTGCAGGTTGCTTTAGCAGCATCACAAAAAGAACCAAAGTGAAGTAATATTTTGCCTGTCTTTATCCCTCCTCCCTGCCTTCTCTCCCCCACTCTTTCCCTGCTAAAAACAAAAATCTCAGACCTTAAAACAACATGATTTGCTCTATCATCTTCTTTATTCTTTAATAGTAAGTATTAATGTAATCTTTATGCTATTAAATGTATTGATAGTTGAATCTAAACCTGTTGTGGAAATCTAGAAACACTGACTAGTCTGTGACTGTGTATAGGTATGTATAAGTTCGTTGATTATTTTAAATTCATTCCATTGGACATGATGCTTTCTGGTTATACTTGTTAATATACTTGTTATAATTTTCATATACACTTATGTGTTATCATAAATCAAGCAAGGTAATAGAGAAATTGGTTTCTAGTTTTTAGCTGTTAGATCTATAAAATTAAAAACAGGTGTACATAATGGAAGACTACATGGCTATAAAGAGGAAGACATTTGTAGGAAAATAGATACACTTGGAAAATACGATGTTAGGTGAAATAAATCATTCACATGAGCTTAAATACCAGGTGATATCTCTCATTTGAGTAAGGTAAAGTACAAATAAAGAGCAAAGTAAAATTATTAAAAGGAAACAAGGAAGGGGCTGGGGATTTAGCTCAGCAGCAAAAAGCGCCTGCCTGGCAAGCGCAAGGTCGTGAGTTCGGTTCCCGGTACCGGAGAAAAAACAAAAAAAAAAAAAAAAAAAAAAGGAAGCAAGGAGATAGGTCTTTTGCAAATTGGAAAGGGTCCTGGAGAATGAGGGCAAGAGGAAGGCAGAAGAGAAAGGGAAAGTAAAAAGATTTAAGAGATGTTACTTGCATATATCAAATGCCCACAGTGAAGGTGAACATATATGTCATTACCATGAGCTAAAAATAATAATAACAATAATAATAAAAACAAGAATGATGATGGAGAAGGGAATTTAGAGCAGGAGAGGAGAAAGTGGGTACAAAGATGATGGGGGTTTTAAAAAAGAATCAGTCTGTGTTATGTACATGCATGTACTTCCTAAAATGAATATAAACTTCATGTGTTGCAAACGTGTGCTAATACAATAATATTTAAAAATTTGAAAACAAATTTTGCTTAATTTCATTATTGTAGTGGTTATTTTTATTAAAATATCATTATAATGAACTGTCATTATTTTTCTTGAATTAGATCACTTTTAGACCCAGGTTTCCTGGTGTATTCATACAAGTCAGGAACACTGCATATAGAGTCTTCCGTTCTGAAGGTAAGTTTGGTTTCTTTTCTGTATATTCACATGCTTAATGTAGTTTGGGCACCATGGTTGGAAAAAAGAAGGCTTTTCTTCTCCACAGAGTTTTTGGGAAAACATCACAAATCCAAGAATAATGTGCTAAATACCAAAAGCACCTTCAGTAGAAAACCCTGTTTTGAAATCTAGCACACAAGAATCACCTATCCAAAGAAGACATTTACTGGGAGTTTTAGGGGATTAAAAAAGTGAGTTTTCATCCTTTACATAAGGTGTTTTTCTGATTACACATGTTTAATTTGGAGGATATCTGATTTATCAACATTTCTGTTAATGGTGGTATTGTTGGTATCAAACCTGAGAATTCTATATAGTCCAATTTGCTGAAGACTTTCTGTTTTTCTGCTAAATATTTTATAGTTTTCCTTTTTCTGTTTAATACTGTGTTTTGTTTGACCTAATTTTATATAAAGTGTGAGGCTTGGATACAGGTTCATTCTCTTGACTGTGGATCTATAAGTGTTCCAGCAACATTTATAGAAAAGGTTTTCTTTCTGCACTGAACTGTTCTTGTACCTTTGTTAAAAAATCACTGGAGCATATTTGAGTGGATATTTTCACTGTTTAATGCTTTTCTGTGTTTATTTATTTTTTTTTATTTTTTTTTTATAATCCAAATGCATTTACTTTATTATAATCCAAGTTCATTCACATTATAGATGACATTAAAATCTAGAGAGATGAAATGATATTAAGATCAATCATCTAAAACCTTTAGTTGAGTATAAAATATGTATTTCCTTGAATTTTAAGTCTTTAGAAACTGAAAATCAAATATGATTTTTAAATTGGATTTTTTTTTAAGCTTTGTGTCTTCCATGCTTAATCTAGTCCTTGTCATACAATAATCACTCAAACATAACTATGAATAAACGATACTGGTGCCCAGAAGTTTTATGTACAAAGTATTGTCTACAAAGATTGTAAATTATATTTGCTCAAATAAGAGGAACAGTTTATGAAACAAAACAATTTCTTACTTACATACCCTAAGTAGTAGTACCTAAACCTAATTAATGAGCAACAATCAAGGTTGTTTCTGAGAACTCAATACTAATGGTAGTATTCAAAAAATGAAAGTTTTTTGGAAAAAGGCCAAAAGTTCATCACTACTTTAGAATTACCAATTCCTTTATAAACCTAATAGTATGCATGGTAATACATTTCCAAAGAAAAGTAACTGCTTCATTTCCTGGGAGGGAGGTAAAATTCACAAACCTTTAAACACAATTGTTGTCTTTAATGTCGTAACACTCTCTTTCATTAGATACTAACTTCCATAAAATATAAAAAGTACGCTCTGGCCCATCTTAACATAACCAAATTGGTTACATGACATAACTGGCTAACACAGACATAGGTGCAATCACTTAGTCCAATATTTATACAAAGTTTGCTGGGCATCAGTATTGCTTTATATACTGTTTTGAGGCTGAGGATACAGCACAATATGGCCTCTGCTCTCACAAGTTTCCCTCAGGTACTAAACAAAGAAATAATGTGATAACAGGAACAATAAACACTACAAATAAATAACAAAGTGATAGAGATTTTTGACAGTCGTGTACTTTAGGAAGCATGGTGTAGCTGGGTGTGGTGGCACATGTCTGTAATCCCAGTACTGGGGAGGCTGAGGCAGGAAGATCTCTGTGAGTTCGAGGCCAACCTGGGCTATAAGGTGAGTTCAAGACCAGGCTGAACTGCATACGGCTTCTCTGAAACATGACAACAGAGTCCTAAATGATGAAATGGAGCATCCCATCTGGGGAACTGAGAAAAGACACAGAGAACAGTAACTGAAACATCTTGAGAGGGAAAAAAAGAGTAGTATTTTTAGATAATAGAGAACAACTCTTGGACATAACTGTAATTAGCTGATTATCAAAATCAGGAAATAAACACCAACACAATATTACCATCTAATCCACAAACTACATTCAAATTTCTGATTGTCCCAAAAATGTCCCTTTCAGGTCCAGAATAAAATCCATAGTCGCTACTTTCCGTTATCACATCTCTTTAGTCTCCTTCAATCTGGAAGAGTTCTCTAGTCGTTCCTTGTCGCCCATGATCTTAATATTTCTGAAGAGTACAGGCCAGTTACCTTGTAGAATGTCCCCCAACCTGTGGTTTGTCTGATTCTCCTCACAACTTATAATTTTTTGGTGGGAATGCCACAAAAACATTACTTCTCCAGTGCATATTAGAATGCACAAGATGTTGTTTTATTCCACTTGTGGCAATGTTAATTTTATTACCTGGTTGTGGTAGACTGACAACTGGTGGTCAACTTATAACCCCCAGCTGAACTGAGTAAGCGTGGCACTGGGAGTGGGAGGCCCACCTGGGGACTGTTGCCAGCAGCATAAGAGGCA